GGGATGGAGACCCCCCCTCTGCCCGGGGCAGCCTGTGCCAGGGCTTGAGAACCCTCTGGGTGAAGAAATGTTTCCTAATGTCCAACCTAAACCTCCCCTGGCGCAACTTGAGCCCATTTCCTCTTGTCCTGTCGCTTGTTACTTGGGACAAGAGACTGACTCCACCTTGCTACAACCTCCTTTAAGCAAGTTGTTGAGAGCGAGAAGGTCTCTCCTCAGCCTCCTCCTCTCCAGGCTGAACAAACCCAGGGCCCTCAGCCGCTCCTCCCACACTTGTCCTCCAGCCTCGTTGCCCTTCTCGGGACACGCACCTAAAGCACCTTTGAAGCTGCTCCTGGACGCAAAGCCGTGGGGGTTAATTTGATTAACACGCAGCCAAGGCTCGTAGATGATAACACTTTGTCCTCTCTGAACATCAGGCAGCATTTGATTTTCATCCCAGAGAAAACTAAGCCACCCAAGATTCCTTTGCAAACGCTGCTGTTGGTGTGAGCTTTTTGGGGTTTGGTTTGGTTTTGGGGGGTTTTCTTTGTTTATTTGGTTTTGGGGTTGGGTTTTTTGGGTTTTGGGTAGGGTTTTTTGGGGTTTGGTTTGGTTTTTTGGGGGTTTGGTTTGGGTTTTGGGGGTTTGGTTTGGGTTTTTTGGGGTTTGGTTTGGGTTTTTTGGGTTTTGGTTTTTCTTGGGGGTTTGGTTTGTTTTTTGGGGGTTTGGTTTGGTTTTTTTCACACCTGTGCAGCTCTGGCAGGCTGGTGCAAGGTGAGGAGCAGCTTCACGCCTCTGTCTCCGGGCAGGACTGACACCAGGCAGGTGATGGGCTGAGCTGATCTTAAAACAACCCAGCGAAACCTCTCGAAGTGCACGATCCGGTGTTTTTGCGGAGCTCCAGGGGTGTGCGGCAGTGCCGGCTGTCACTGGGGGTGGAAGGGGGCAGCCGGCCCTGGGAAAGGCAGCTGGTTAAAATAACAATTTATTCTGCCGGGTGTCTTGTGGGATGGTGGAAGGATCCCAGAGCAGCCCTGCCTGGGCTCCTGCTTTATGTCATGGGAGGGGAGCTGCTTTCCCAGCTGGTGGTATTTTAAGGGGTGTTTTTGTACTCTTTTCACTGATTTTGGGGGGCTTTTATTCCTGCCTGTCAGCAAAGTCTGAGAATCGGATGCATCCCGTGTTTTGCACGTCCGTTTCCCCTTCCCTGCCTATGAAGAACGAAATGAAAGGCAGGAAGAAAAAATAAAATGAGTTTACAATGTAGAAGCATGGCTTGAAGGAATTTCTGTGGAGCAGAAAGCTCGTCGTTACGGTGCCACTGCCCGTCCCACATCACTTGGTGGTGTTTCCCGTAAGAGAAATCAGATTTTATCCTAGGCAAGCTCCTGAAATAGCGAGGAAAACAGTATTTCAGGGTTCACCCTGTGGGGTGTTTGCTCTTGTGGGTCGCACACCGGGTCTGAGCCTGTGCCAGGGTTTGCTTTGCTGTGTGCTGGCATCTTCCTGTGCCTCAGTTTCCCCCAAAGGAGGATAGGACTCAATGCGTGATGGAGAAACACTGGCTGCTGAAGGGCTGTGCTGCTCCAGGTTTGGAGGTTTTTTTAAATCCTATTACAGCAGGAGAAACTCCCAACATTTCCTTCAAGCGACCCCAACGCCACCCCGTCGCATTTTATTTATTTGCTTTGGCCCGGAGAGCGGGGCAGGGTCTCCCCGGGGAGACGGAGGCTGTCGCAGAGCCCGGGGGCAGCAGCCCGCGCCCGCGTCACCTCACTCGTGGGTGGCACCCGTGTTTATTTACCTTTTCGTCACCTGATAACCGTGCCCTGCCATGTTGCAGGCGCCAGCCCGTGGGTTGCCAGCTCTGTTTGAGTTGGCAGGGGCCGGGGATGAAGCTCCGGCTAAAAAAACCTGACCCCA